CCCCCCCCCCCCTCCCTGCCCGACACCAGTCAGCGACTGGGGGGTGGGGGGTTCCCCTGGCGGATAATCGCACTGACGGGGGGTTGTCCCCCTGTGACCACTTCCAGAAGTGGCGTGGCCACTTTTGCTGGCTGCCCCACTCTCCTGGCAGTGCTCACAGAGGGGGACCGGCGCTCTAGCCTGCCCCCCTGCCTGTTGCCTAAACAGGGAGCGCAGCCTGACAGGGGGTGCACCAGTGCTCTCAGGGGGTGCGCATGCATCCCCGTGCACCCCCTATGTGTTGCCACTGCTTAGGGCAGTGGTTCCCAATCTGTGGTATGTGTACCACCACCTGTAAGTGGTATGTGTTAACAGATTCCTTATAATTACTTTATATGGCAAAAATTTGCTGGTGGCACTTAAGGTTGCATCATTTTAAATTGGTGGTACGTAATCTGTCAGAGTTTGGGAACCGCTGTTTTACGGTTAGATTATGAATCCAATGTTCATCTGAATAAGCAGCTACGCACAGGAGGAGTCATAGTGTAATCACTGAGAATACTTTGGTGAGTAATAGATCACCTTTGTAAGGAACAGATCCAAATCACCCTTTGTAGAGTGCTTGTCACTGTGGCAACAGGTGTTAAGCAAGGGGTGAAAAAAAAAAGGATCCTCAGGTCAGAAAGCAACCTCTAGATTGCTCAATATTCAGTATTGGTTTTGGGTAGAATTACAAAATGAACAAGAAAGCAATGCTGTACAAATAATGGAGCTGGAATTAAAGAAGACTTTTCATCTAGTTACTCACAAGCCCTTACTTGAAAATAAAATATTTTACCAGACTTAGATAAGAATACTGCCATGGGGAAAGAAAACTGGTTGAAGACCAAGAACAAAGAGTGCTCATAAATAGTGCTATACCAAGTAGGTAGGAGGTGTCTAGTGGGATCAGTGATAGGTCCTGTCTTATATTATACCTTCATTAGTGAAAGAGGGAGTAAACAGAATATTAATGACACATGCAAGTGATACTAAACTGGAGGCCTTGTAAAATTAGCTTATCTAAATGTTAACTCAGAGGGACTATAACAAGTGCACACGTGTATTTGATGGGGCAAAACAAAGCAAGGAGAAAAAATGTTGAAGGGAGTCCAATGGGATATAACTAGAAATAGTGGGAAGCAATTAAGGAAGAGAAAATGTGGGCTGAATATTAAAAAAAAATCCTAGGAATCCTTTTACATTTTTAAAATAATCTACCAATGGAAATGTGAGAAGTCCCATTTCATGAGCTTTTAAAAAATGAAATGAGCCAAAGAAACAACAAATAGTGATGGTGAAATCCTGTAGTTGTGGGGGATAAATTGGATGTGGTGATGGTTATTAGAAATTTCCATCCCCAACCTCTCCAGCTCTAGAGAGGTAATTAGCTTTGTTAGTGTGAAGTTTAGCAGAATGCAGGGCAGTGTGGTAACAAAGGGCATTTGTAAACGTACTTTTTTGTGCTGTGATGCATCAGAGATGCGCTGCATCAGACAAGCCTCAATTGATTGAGTCTGCTTCGCATGCAAGCAGATGCACCCAGCATTTGCATAAAATGGCAAAATACATGTCAGTGCTAAGAAAATGAAGGCAATGCACTGTTGAACTAAAACACCTTCTATGTGTTTTAGTTCAAAAGGGTGCTGCCACCATTTTTTCAGTGCTGATACACATTTCACCGTTTATACAAATAGACGCAATGCCGTGCTGGGCACTTTAGATATGTGTGTGACACAGTGCCAGGTATTTTTTAAAAATGCCCATACAGACTCTTTCAGAAGGCAGAAACTTTTGTAGGTTACAACCTACTTTGTCAGATGTTATGAATGGACCTGAAGAGTATATCCACCCTGTGCAAGTCCATTAATACGATATGACAAAGTCAGCTGTGAGTTACAACAGCTCATACCTCTCTGAATAAATTAGTCTCTATGGTGCCACATGGCTCTGCCTTCTGCCTTATACCTTTGTGATAATCCAAGTTGTAAAACATTACATTTGAAAAGTAAGTACTTTCAGAAATAGACAAGGAACTGAGAAATTCCTAATTCTAAATTATAAGGAAGAGATCATGTGTGTTTGAACTTGATTACAATTTGAGGAACTGAACTTTGTGCTGCCTTGTGAATTGCACAGAGGGAGTCCCGGCAATGTACGGCCTATGATAAATTTTGGTGCCTGTGACAGGAGTACCTCTACTAGAGTCTTTCTATTGGTGACTCCACCCTCCTGTTATGGGCCAACCACCTGCCTACTTGCCTGCCATGCCTTGATCTTACTTGATTAATTAATAGATGTAATTAGCAGGAGGCTACCCATTGTTTTTGCCCCGGTGCCAGGGGGCACTATCTGTGGCTCCTTTTCTTCCCCTACACTGCAGCCCAAGCCTCGCAGATGGTACTGACGTGGTTTTGACCTGGACCCTGTTGTAATTTGGCCCTCTCCTTGACTTCCCTGGGCTTCCACCACCCTGTCTCGTCTCGTGCCTTCCTGGTACTCTGCCGCCCCCTTGCCCTGGGACTGGGGACAGTGCACCCCAAAAATGCCATGCCCTCTCTGGCGCCAGGGTCCCCATGCTACCGTGGAGCACCTGTGAGGCCTCCTCCAACCCCTAACAGCCTCACCCGGTCCTCTGGACTTATGAAACTACAAATAAAAACTCAAGCCCCTGGGCCATAACGAAAAGTCTCATTCAATCCCTACCAGGGAATTCTCCACCCATAACAGCAGACAGGAGCTGCTCGGGCTGTCAGGCTTCTCCACTCCGCTTGCCCCGACAGAGCTCCTTCTCCCACAGCTGCCAGCGGAGCACTGCCCTCCTTGTCTCACTCCTGGGGTTTATATGTGCCAGGCCCTGCCCCTTCCTGTCAGCTGAC